GTAAGGCATGTAAACAAATGCTTAATAATTCATAGGAGTTGCAAGTAAGGAAGTTTTCCCCTTCCTGCCCTGCAGAGCAGGCCCAGGCAGATAGCTTACAGAATAGGAAACATACTGTGCAAGTGCCAAGAAATGCAGCTGATTGAAATAGTTCTCTCCCTTTCCGCGAAGAGAAACTATACATTCAGCCATCTCTACTGCTGTAAAAAGTCAGTTAAAGTGACAGTGAAAAAATATAATTGAACAAATTATCTTCTTTTAACAGTCACAAAGACCATTATAGAACAGAACAAAACAAGACAAGTGAAAATAGCAACTTTGAGCAACTCCCACTTTCCTCTGTTCTTTCTTGGGAGCTCTGACACTCAATGGCACTCAAGTTGTACTTCTGCTCTCTGAGTTTTGTACTGCACTGCCTGACAGAAATCTCTGGAAAGTCCCCATGAAGTTACATGATTTATTATTTTTCTTTCTCTTCTCTCCACAGTGCTGAGTGCCATGAAGAAGGAAGAAGATTATTACAATGATCCACCCCATCTCCTGTTTTATAGCACTATTCAGTACAACCACAAGCTCAGGGAAAAGAAGACTGTGATACTCTGAACATACTGTGGCACAAGATCAAATGTTTGTGCGACAGTCCTATATATACATGTGGAAACAATTCGTGGTGATGGCAAAACTGAGAATCATACACCATCCACCTTAACAGGGAAGCTGAAAAATATGGGTGTCTTCTAACACATAAGATGGAAATAAAGCCCACTAAGACAGGCACTGGAAATTTGATGGAGAGGCAGGAGCTCATATGGACCACATTTTCACTGGGCTGAAAGACTACAAGTGTTCATTCATTTTACACATAACTTTTTTTTTTTTTTTTAATGTGAGACTGAACACAGGAGCATGTCACACAGGGAGGTGGTGCAGTCTCCATCCTTGGAGATATTCAAATACCCAAGAGAAAGACTCTTGAACTCTAGCTGAACCTGCCTTTAGCAGGCGGGGTTGGGCTAGATGACCTTTCAAGGCACCACGTGACCATCAACCTCAGCTATTCTATGATTCCCAAACAACTCTGGGTTGGCCAGGAGTTTGAATGAATAATCAGGACTATGAAACTCCTTGGTGCTACAGCAATCATCTGTTTTATGGCACTCAAGTGCAGAGGTAAATGGTTATTACAATGCACTTAAAAGTTGGATCCATTTCAGAAGCTGATAAAGTAATTCTTATCTATTTTTTGTTCAACCTTTTCAGAAGGAAATAAAAAAATGCAAGTTCATTATTTATTGTTACTTCCTTTTCATTAGTCTATGATAGTTTTAATAAATTTATTGCTAGACAACTTAAATCCCAAATTAAGATCTTAAAAGTGGTTTTACAAAATTAGCATTTTTACAGAATAAAAGCCATCAATACAGACTGCTGTTTTGATTTAAATCTTCCACTACTTTTATAGCTTAAGCAGTACATAACTGTGCTGACACAGCTATGTTCAGATCAAACTGAGATAGATGTCACCAGGGTTTTCCACGTGCAGTACCAGGAATCCATCCTGCCATCTTTTTCGCTGGAGCTCTGCAAAGCACCGAGTGCTGCCCTTAAGTGAGGTGAATGAGGGCTAGGTCAGTTCCAGGGCTCCCTCAGTTTATATTATTTAGTTCTCACTAAACCTCCAAGAGCAGCAGTGGTTCAAAAAGCTTATTAGGGTATCTCAGCGGTGGATAAAAGAAGTGACGTGATAGTGGATAAAGTTCTTATAATCTCACAGAAAACTCCCACGGTTCTCCACAAAACTCACTTAATTGCTTTGTCATTTGTGCTCGGTAAAGTTTCTGAAAAGCCACTCTGAGGAGTCAGAGACAGCATTTGCAGGCAGGGAGATGAAAACAGAACACTAAAAGAGTCCCTCACCAGACACACAGACCCAGACCAGTGACTCGCTGCAGTACTTTAAAGTACCTGTCAGGTTTGTATCTCAACATGCAGTGAAGTACTGGCTTGTTCCTGGCATACATAATGACAAAAACTGTCTGCCTAAAGTTTGGATGAGATGGTAATATTCTTCCTTTGGAAAAGAGTAACCCAAGAAAGCTCCCTTTGGGGAGAGTGGTGACTATGCAGGAGGTATCTCCCTTTCTGCACTTATGGTATTTTGGAAACCAAATAAATGCCATTTTAGCTTGGTGCTGTAGTTTAACTTTCAATGATCAAATTGCCCAAGTTTAATAAAGCTTTTTCTTATAGACTTTGAACTCAGAGAAGAGACTATAGGAGGTCCTTACTCTTTTACTCTGTCGAGCTGGTGATGTGCTGGAGAAGGAACAGCTAGTTCTGAGCACAGTATTACACAGACAAGGCTTAATCTGTACTTGAAAGGGCTACATAAAACATTGACCTGTCACATTTATGCACCTACTTAATTTTCCAATCTAGGGCATCACGACTGCAAATTACATTTGCCTGCTGGTTAGTCTGGGCAGCTGCAACTGCTCTGACTCTTTGCTCAGAGAAGAGGGCTGTACTTTACAAGGAGAACTTGGAAGCTCTCAAGCTGAGACAAGCCTGGCAGTTTGACCAGGAGCAAACAGAACACTTTATGTATCTTGGTATAAACAAAGAGTGCCCTTAGATGGTCCCTTTCAAATCCAGACGTGGAGGGGTACGGAGGGGGCTGTTGCAGTCTCTTTGAAACTCCCTACTTGGCACTGTGGCACTTAAAAAATATTACTTTGGATTTCATAGTGGCAGTATTATAAAATAAATACATAATCTGCATATTTTAACAAAGTTTACAGACAAACAGCCAGAAATTGTAAGTGCTCACTATATTTTGTTCTGTGTCTGTACTGTGGGCTATGTTTTGGCTCTGGTTTTCTTCACTGAAGACTCAAGTTAGCCAGCTGCTCCTGCTGTTGCTGCCTACAGAGGTAACTCACCTACTGACTGTGGCGATAGGCCACAAAAATCTGTGTGGTGTGCTCTGCCAGCCAGTTTCACCCTTGCTGGGCAGGGAATGTGCCAGGTCTTCCTCTGAGAGACCTGTGGGATTGCCACCCTGGGATGGCTGCTGAGAAACAGAATCTCCACTGCTCTTTCACCAAAACTTGTCTGGGCAAGGCCAGCTCTAACTTTGCGTTTGCAATTCATGGAATACTGACATGTAAAAGCTGCCTTGGAATACAGAGAAGTTTAAGTTTCTAGAGAAAGTAGCAGGCTGCCAGGTTTATTTGCACCTCCCTCTCTAAATTAAACCAAGCTCCGAGGGACAGGGAAGTGCATTAAGAAAAAAAAACTTCTTAATTAAGGCTGTTTGGAAAATTTTGCTGGCCTGCTTGTCCCCTCTGTGGGACAAGCAGCTGCCATTGCATCTCCAGAGGAAAGATTTAGTAAAGCTTTCAAAATAGACTTTGTAGAGGGCTATGCTGCTAAGAGCTTTAACAAAAGATATTTATAACTAGTGTACAATATAGTTACTTATTTTTTCGGTTTATAGCACTAAGAGACCAGATAATGTAAATATTTAGAAATAGTTCTGATTTAAATACAACCTTATTAATTGATTTATCTTATTTTAATAATTGATATAGCACATCTAATTTTTAGCTAAGAGTAATTTGTGAAATAATTCTGGTCATATTAATCAAATGCTAGCTCCAAGATAATGAAATACTTATGGCTTATAATGAAATACTTATGGTGGGTTAGCATGGACTATAAAAAGTGCTAAATTAGCGGCAAGGAAAGCTTGAAATAGCTGTTATGAGGTAGCTGGAGGGAAAACTTAAAATAGTTTCTGTGAAATAGTTTGTATTTACCATTTAATATTGATTTTGCTAAAGCTATATATTACATTTCACATTGTTAAGAATAAAGAGATAAACACAGATTAATTTATGCAGTTAAGAAATTAGTGTGAACATAAATCTCTTCTTTGAATAGAAATTTAATTATTGAAAACAGCTCGACTTGCTCGAAAGGGAAATATTTCAGCCTTTGAAATTTATTCTGCTTCTTTTACTCTGCACGTTTTGATCAGTAAGGAAAAATGGCTATTCTATATTTCTTTACATCCTTTGCGATTCCCCCACCCAAAGACATAGGCGGCATTGTTTCCTTAAGGAGAATACAGCACGGGAAGGTGGTTAAATGATTTCTGTACGCTACCAACAATCCCGACCGGGTGGCGCGCCAGGCTCCCATCTCCACCTAGACCCCTGAGCGCAGCCGGCGCAGGCAGCAGGTGTTCCAGGGAGCGATGGAGCGATGCTCTGCCCCTGCTCACTGACACGGCAGCGCCGACGGGCCCACCGAGACTCAGCCCGGCTGTTCCCATGGGGGTGGAACGTGGTCGGGCGGGACCACACCGTGACACCCGCAGAGGCCGTGGCAGGTGCTGCCTGGGCTGATGAGCCCCTGCGGGCTGAGGAGCTCCCGCTGCGAGGGGTCAGTCCCTCACAAGGGACACTTTCAGGAGCAGCGAGACAATTTCATTCCGGGCGCGCACACGACGCAACAACGCCCCTAAAACAACTTCGCGCCGCCGTTTTCCAGTGTTTTGCCTCCTCTGCTCGCGACAGCCGCGGCCTGTGCCGCCCCCTCGGCTCTGCGGCGGGCTCAGAGCTCCCCCTCCCGAGGCACCGCAGCCTCTCTCCTCCCCGGCACAGCCCCCGCTGCCCGCGCCGGGTCCCTCTCGGGGGGCCGCCGGGGAGGAAGCGGCGGGGCGCTGCCTTCTGCCTCGGGAGGGGTGCTCGGCGGCCGCCAGGCTGCCCAGACAGGTACGCCCGCAGGACGAGACGGCTGCCCCGCTGGCTCCAGGCGGGCCCTGGGGGCGGTGGCGGAGCCGGGCCCCGGTGGCAGCCGCCCCGCCCCGCGGGTGCCCGGCGCTGCGGGCGGGCCGAGGGAGGGCGGCGGGCGGCGCTGGGCGGCCACGCCGCATGCGCAGGAGGGCAGGTGCCGCCGGCAGCCGAGCAGCGCCGGCAGCATCGCGGCAGCCCCGCGTCCTCATGGTGCCGGGTCAGGGCGACGAGGGCGCCGCTGCTCCGGCGGCGGGCGGGCAGCAGCAGGAGGTGCAGCCGGGCCAGGAGGACGGGGCGGGTGCGGGGCAGCAGTGCCTGTGCCCGGCGCCCGGCATCGAGGCGGCGGGCGCCGAGGAGCGCCGCGCTTGTGACTGCAGCTCGGGCTTGCCCTGGCCGCGCTGCTGCGAGGCAGCTGGTGAGGAAGGGGAGTGGGTCAGGGAGGGCAGCATCCTGCCCGCTGTCGGGGTGACATTGCCGGCGCGGGGGCCGGGCAGCAGCCCGAGGGCAGCGGGCTGTCCGCACGTGGCGGCGGGCGCGGAGCGGAGCGGGGCCGGGCGGCCGCAGAGGGCGCCCCGAACCCGCGCCCTCCCCGCCGCTGCCGAGCCGGGTCACACCTGGTGCCCGCCGGGTCACCCGGGGCGGGCTCGGCCTCGCCCGATCCTTCCCGCTCCTCTTCCCCGGGCACGCCGGCCCCGGCGGAGAAGTGCATGGGAACAGGCAGGCGGAACTTCTTCCGTGCCCCTCGCCCTCCATGGCCCCGGGAGCGGGCAGAGCGCTGGGGCCGCTCATCCCCACGGGTGGGCGGCTCCTCTGTCGCCTCCTGAGAGCGCTTCGGGAGCGATTATCCCTCGGGAAACAGTACTTCCTGTTGTCAAAGTTTTGAAGAAAGACCTGACAGTTCTGGGTAAATAGAGGCACCTTCTGGCAGTGTGAACTTCTGGCACTGTTAAATACGTTTGAGCAGGGGCACGAGTGCAGTTCACCAGGTTCACGGACTTGTGGCTGTGATTCCCTGGGCAATTCTTTTCATGCTTTAGTGTGAGTGTAGTCTTTGTTTTGTCTTAATCTGTGCTTCGCTTCTTGGTCATTTTCAATTGTTAAAGCCACAAACTTCCTGTGAAATACTCAACATATGTAAGTTTTACATGGAGTCTTTTTAAAACATAAATGCCATCTTAAAATAACTTCTGAGGTTGTTATCTAAAGTACTTTAGCATGTGTAGTTTCTAAACAATATCACTGAAAATGTATTTGTCACTAAATTGACTGTAATTGACTTTCTAGTGAAATATAGATTTGATAATGTGCTGCGGAGAGATCAGAATAGAAGAGCGTACTTGACCAGTGAAATTCACATTAGTGTCACTTTTGAGGCAAAGCTGAGGGAGTGGAAAGCAACCAGTGTTTGAACTCCTGAGGAACTTGTATTAACTCACCAAGAAAAGTACTTTGGTTTTGAGTAGTCTGTCTGGCAAAATTTTTGACAGAGTCTATGACTGAACTTTATGAATCACCCCTAGATCCTGTTTGCATGACCATGATTAGTTCATATGCAGGCTGTTGTGCTCCTGGCACTTAACAGAAGACTGTAGGAGAGCTGTTCTGCTTTTTATAATGTGAAGAATGGATCACAGTCATCTGCCTTTCCTGAAAGTCTGGGAGAATCATCCTGCTGACCACCTTTGCAATAACCAGTACTCTTCTGTCTCTGCTACTATTCTTAAGGTGCATATATGTGAGAAATGTGATTTTCCTCACTGTATGCATTTTGCTGGTATAAAAACTTTTTAGAACAAAGCACGGCATTAAAACAACAAAATTTACACATGGAACGACATGCAGTGGGAGGCATTTGCCTAGGACTTAAAACAGGAGTGGAAAATTGTTTGAAAGGTTGGAGTTGGCCAGGGAATAAAATTGGAAAACCAAATCTGTAGCCACTCAAAAAAGAGGACTTAGGTACTGCTTGAAACTTTTTTATTTCCAGGCTCCTACAGTCTTAAAAAAGCATGAGTGCTTGAATGTTTTGATGGCATTGGGCTAGTATTTAGAGGCTTAAGATTTTGTGGGGTGGGATTGTTATCTTAATCTAACTTCTCCTTGCAACTTACTTTGAAATAAGTACTCTTCAGAACTGCACTTCTTGTTTTTGGTGGAAGAACTTGTACCATTTTATTTTTAAAAGGAAATAAAACACTTTCTCATTGCACTGAGTACGTGCCTTGGCAATGCAAGATGTTGATGGTTTAAATTCTAGTATTAAAAGATTCTGTTTCTGGTAGGCTTGGTATATTGGGTAGCTTACAGAAATGAGTTCCTTCTGCTTTTTCTTTGTTCTTGCCAGTGCAAGGCTTAGTTCTGGGTATAAGATCCTCTCAGCATATTTTGTTTTAATTGGATTGGTTTTCCATTTCAACACTTCCATTATTTAGATTGGCTTTGTTCTGTAGTAATCGGACAAGCTATCATGCCTGAAATAAAAGTTAATAGTTCTGTTTGTGCTGTGTTCATCCATAAGCCACCATGGGTTTGGATTTCCCATTTCAGTTACAGGCCAGTTTGATTCCTCTTGCTTTAATATTGAGACGTTGTTGATTTTGTAGTTCTGTTGCGTGACTATGTGGATTAGGACATTACATAATTCATGAACATTTTTGAAATCCACTGTTTCATAGTTGGTAGATGTCCCGGTCCAGTGTTGGTTGGTGGTAGTTTTTATAGTCCCTTTTATGTAAGTGGTTGTTGCTAAATAGAAATATTTCTAGTAGAAGCTGTAACTCACTTTCAGTTGCAGCGTGGCAGGATCCCTTGAGAAGCAGGCCTTTTGCCTACTTTGGATCTGTTTTAATGCCCGAGCCTCTAGAACTGTGTCAGCCCACAGTCTCAGCTCTTAGGTAGTAAGATGCAGTTTCTCAGCCATGAGTACTGATCTCCAGGAGGATCAAAGTGGTTTGTAACAAGTTTTGTTAATATAAAAAAAAAACAACCACACACCCAAAACAAAGCAAAAAAAGCCTCTCAAAACCATATTTAGTTGCTAAGCAACTCACAGCAGTACCCTGCTGGTTATGTTTTAGAGGATCCATAAGGCTCACAGGCTGCCACACTAATGTGAGATGAGGCACCCTTTTATCAAAACACTGTCTCTGGGACATGGAGTTCTCACTCCTATCTTTAGAGAGTGTTGTAGAAGAAAAGGTAACTCCTAATGTTTTATGCAGACAGAGAAAAAGAGACAGTGAGGTAACATCCCACTCAGATTGTTAGATGGGTTCTCTTTTTTTCATGGTGTTCACCTCTAGGTTCAGTGGAAAGGCTGTTACTTTTACGAAACAAAGCAATTAACAAAAAAGGCTAATTTCTTTGGAGATGGTGTTGAGGTCAGCAGCAGCAGCAGTTCTCCTTTTCTCCTTCTGTTTTGCTTTTTTTTGTTTGTTTGTTTAATAGTCAAAGGTGGAGAAAATGAGTGGAACGAGGAAGAATGTGTTGCTGAAGAGATCCCGAGGCAATGAGGAAGCTTGACACTATTTCAGGAAAGAAAAGTGTGATAAATAAGCATAAACTACAGTCTTCATGGAATTATGATAGACATCAGGCCTATGATGCTTTACTATTAGTCACTTGAATTTATTCTGTTTAAAAATGTATATTTGATGCCTATTTGAAGAACATATTTGAATTTTTATAGCAAGATAAAAATGTTATATGAAAATTCTGTAGGTCTAGGTCATATTTAGGGTGATTTAGCTACAGAGTAAACATGAGGTATAACAAAAGTGATGTTCTGTACACAAATTTTATATGTGTGGATTGGTGAGAAAAGGAAATTAAATATTTGCTTGTGAACCTGATTTAACTAAGGTTCATAAGCAGATGATTCCCAAGGTAATAAGTTTCAGAATTTGACCATGGGCCATTTCGTAGTCAGTTATATTTACTGGTCCTCAGGCAGAATCATAACTAATCGCTATAGAAAATCACCCATACTAGTCTGATAGCCACAAGAAGTAAAGCTAACTTGTGTAGAACTGTGAGAACTTTTGTATCCCAGGTGTTAGAGTTCATCTCTTACACCCTGTTTTAAGAAAAAAAAGAGACCCGTGGTGGTCAGTGAAAAATATTTTCAAGGTAGGTCTGATAAATACATGTAATATTTGCATATGTTTCTTTGATTCCCCTATCACAAGAATCGCTACAGATGTATGGAGCACTGCAGTGGAGAACTACCTGATCAGAGAAGTCTTCTAATAGATCCTTATTAACTGTAGAAATATCTGTTGCAGGAACAAAGAAGAAAACTACATGTCCAGGACTTGGTCTGTTTTATACCGTACTGTCTGCCTTCCTTTTCTCAGTGGCCTCTTTATTTCTTAAAAAAATAGAAGATCTACATTCAGTGGAAGTGAGTGCATTTCGATGTGTTTTCCAAATGGCATTTGTTCTTCCTGGTTTAATATACTACAAGTAAGTATAGCAAATGTTTAAATTTTAAGTTATTTCTTAAAAGTAGATCTCCAATTATCACTTAAATCAGATTGCAATATTATTTTAATTTGAACTTCAGCTGCATAACTGCATTGTTTTGGATTAGTTGGTAGTTTCTTAATATGATTCAGAAAACTGAAAATCTTTGGCTCCCTGAATTGTAGAGGTTTCTACAAGGATTATCTTGTCAAATGCTTTGATCTTCCATGAAGTGGTGATCTTAAAAAAACAGAGGGTAGTTTGTAGATACTCTTGCCTTACTTTGCATGCAAAACATTAATAGCAAGAACAGGTTCTGAACTCTGAATGTGATTGTGGATCATGATGAAAATAAATTGTTCTGTGATTAAACAGTTAAAAATATTTGGATATTGAAGTCCCTCTTGTAGAAGGGTGTGTGCCATCTAGATGGGTGTGTACATCTAAATGTGTTTGAATGTTAGTCATGAAATAAGCAATTAATGTGACATTTCTGTTTTTCAGAACAGGGTTTTTGGGACCAAAAGGTAAAAGAATTTTTCTTTTCTTCCGAGGATTCCTTGGCTCTACTGCAATGGTTCTTCTCTACTACGCTTACCAAGTCATGCCACTGGCCGATGCCACTGTTATAACTTTTAGCAGTCCTGTTTTTACGTCATTGCTGGCATGGATCTTTCTCAAAGAGAAATACAGTCTTTGGGATCTTCTGTTTACCCTCTTTGCAATCACTGGAGTGATTCTTATTGCCAGACCACCATTTCTGTTTGGGTCACGTGATATGGGGATTGAAGGAAGTTACACAGATCACCTTAAAGGAACTATAGCAGCAATTGCAAGCACAGCATCTGCAGCTTCGACTATTGTTATACTAAGGAAGGTGGGAAAATCTGTGCATTATTTTTTGTCAATTTGGTATTATGCAGTCATTGGTTTAATTGGGTGTGTTATAGCATTGTTTGTTTTGAATGAATGGCGTTTACCACAGTGTGGTAAAGACAGGGTTTTTCTAGTTTTAATAGGCTTGTTAGGTTTAGGGGGTCAGGTATTTCTCACAAAAGCATTACAGATAGAGAAAGCTGGACCTGTATCCATAATGAGAACAATGGATGTGGTTTTTGCTTTTATTTTGCAAATTCTTTTTCTCAATCATCTGCCAACTTGGTGGACTGTGGGTGGTGCCCTGTGTGTATTAGCCAGTAGTATTGGAACCGCCATTCGCAAGTGGCGACAAAGCGTGAAAAAAGCTAAACAAAGTGAAATCTAAGAGTATAGAAACTAATTCATTGCAGAAACAAGCAATCTTGAGATATATATATACATAATATTTATTTTTATTTATTTTAAATATCGCATTTACCAAATTGTAGTACCGAATTATATCCAATAAAATAATTTTTTTTTTTTTTTTATTTTAAACCAGAATTGAAGATGTTTTAGTAATTGATTAGGTATATGCTTTTCTTTTTCATATTTAGACCTGAGCAGTGGAAAGATACTTTAAAGTTGTTGCTTTCTATCAGAAGTGGACAATGCTCTCAGGCACATGGTGTGATTCTTAGGGTGTCCTGTGCAGGGCCAGGAGTTGGACATGATGGTCCTGATGGATCCCTTCCAGCTCTGCATATTCTGTGATTCTATGAATATTTATTTTCCTGAAGTTCTTGACTCTCTACTTCTTAAACCCTTTCTTTATTCTTCAGAGCAGTGAAAATAGTCTCCCAGGCTTATTTAATACTATTCCATGCTTGATTACCAGAGGGATTGCAGTACAAAAGTTAGAAGGGAATGAAGAGCTAGTAATCTTTAAACAACCAACTTTTATAGAACACGTAAAGCTTGCACATTTACAAGCTTTGTATTTTTTTTTTTTTGCACCAAACGGATGCCAAATGGGGATTTGTTTTTAATTTGGATTTTAAAAGAACAAAAGCTATTTCATCTTTCCAAATAATATAAAGAGAAAATTAACTTACGAAAATTATCTATCAGCTTTACTTTCTTTTAAAAAGAATGTTAAGTGTGTGTATTTGCTTTACAGACACAGTGAAACAACCTAATCCCCTTTTTTTTCCCCAAATGCGATTTTCTCAATAAACATGTCTTTAGTTGCTGAACTCTCAGTGATGAAAGACAATGTTTAATTGTATACTGCTCTTAAATTAGCCATTTCTTGTGGTATGGAATGTTACTCTGTAGCTGCACTTTTCTTTATTCTATGCAAAAGATGATATTTTTTAGGTATTTAATATAGGTTATTTTTAATGCTGCTTATGATCCTTTTGTTTAGATTCTTTTGTACTAAAGTTCTTTGTGAGACCAAGTTTAAGTCTCCTTGGCCTTCATAAAGTTAGGAGCATTTACAATAAAGCTTTTGCCTACTTTCTAAGAATGTACAAGAGTGCAGGTAGTTGCAGTTTCACAGAAAATGCAGGTTGGCCGAGGCCATAGAGATTCTACAGGAGAGGTTTGAGGAGAGCTTGGTGGAAGGGTAGAGCTATGCATACACATCACATTCAAGCATCCACACTACATCAGGCAGTGCTAGTGGGCAACTTCAGCCCCTTTTCTGCAGCCGGCGCTTTTAAATCTACGCTTGTCACTTTTCTCGCACATCTCACTTTTATAGGCTTTGTCTTGAGAGCAGCAAATACTAAGAAAAAATACTTGTGTTACTGATCTTGGTGTCCTTCATGTTTGAGGAGGACCAAATGTTTAGTATCAGGAAGTGGGATTTTCCCAGATTGAGACTTATGTACTTTCAGGTCTTGTCTCAGTAGAGTTTAAAGAAAATTTTAAGTCGATCTTTATTTGGTCATTTGTATCATGAGGAAGTTTTCAGTTTTTTACTCACTCTAATGTTTTTCTAAAGGAAAATGCAGTGTTCTATACACTTGATATACATTTGTTTCAAAATCACTGAAGGTGGTGGATGTTTCCTTATTTTGATTTGTAGATGTCTAGTCACATGTCTTTTCCTTGTCAATAAGCATTGAATCCTGTCAGGGCAGATCTAGGGACTCCAGTCCCGAAGGACTGGAATGCATGTAGTACTTTGGGATGTATCTGGATGTGAGGAGCCTCTTTCTGCAAGTTTCTGTATGTAAACCAGCACCCTGAATCCATATGTGTTTATGGGTATGAGCAGATTCCACTTGAGTGATAGAGTCAGTCCTGCTCATAGCTGTGTGTTTTCTGCTTCTCCTCAAGGCTGAAGTTCAGCTACTCCCAAAGGGGTCAGGAGTAGCATGAAACTGCTCTCCTATGTCTTTAGAACCTCATGTAATAAAATTCCAGTTTGGCACCTATTTTGCTTAATACTTGGAACTGTGAACTGGGATTGTTTTTCTGCTGCTCAGCCATCGCTGCCATTGAGCAATAGCTTTCAGGGAGGGAAGGAGAACAGACTGCATTTTTTACTGCTTCAGTTCATGTTTAATATGCATGTGTTTGAATTGCCACTTATAAAGGTGTGGTTCCAGAGCAGTTCAGATTGATGTAAACTTGGATTGTCAGCTAGCCCTGCTCCCCCCTTTTGGCTCAGTGCTTGTGCTTATGAGGTTATGTGATGAGCTAGACCTGGGAGCTGATCCAGCTACATATCTTTTTAGTAAGGTTGTTGGAAAGAGCAAGACCAGTGTAGCCTGAACTCAATGACACTATAAAAACAGTAGGAAGGGGAATTAGATAATACTTCAAATTACAGCATATGAATGCTGCTATGTCAGTACAGAATAAAAATAATGTGGAAGCTTACATCAAAAACTCTTTTGCTCATACGATTTCAATGAATCTTTTTTACATTTGATAGAAAAGAACAGGCTATTGAAGAAAGGATTGTTTTCTTACCCTTAGCATATAAATAAATCTAGAAAATAAGCTGATCTGAAATCAGCATCCAGATATAGTGGCTGGTAATTTTTGTCTCAAGTTCTTGCAGAAACTCTTGATATATTTTCATACCTGTAGTGCCAAAAAACCCAGATGACTGTTTGTTTTTTTTTCTTTGTTCAAACCTATAGGATCTCCTTTTGGCTCCATCTGCTTATTTCCTCTTGCTTTTCCCAAACCTTCTTAAATATTTAAGTTGTTAAAATAACTATCTAAACAAGATCCTATGTTGGAGAACATTATATGTGTTGGAACATTATTTTGATTTTGATCCATCTTTTAGAGAATTTTTTAACTGGTATGAGAATGAAGGACTTGACTAGGGCTTCTCTAGTCATAAAGCATGACAAGCTAGATCCTGTAACTAGCTTTTCTAGATGGTATTGGGCATTGAAGACATTTAAGCTATAAGTTTTTCAACTGCCTCAATTTTAAATTTTTTCTCTCTCTCAAATATAGGTTTAAAACCTAAATATTAGCTGTAACCCTTGAAGATAAAGAAACTGTAAAATTAGGGGTACTATGAAATGATGGGGGGTTTTTAATGGAAAATACTTCTTAAAATTTCTGTTAAGATGGTAAAACTTTTCTTCAAATCTTAACAGTTTGAGAATCTGAAATGTAACTGGCTGAGCCTTGATTCTTTCAGATTCTGATCTTTTTTAGCTTTAAAGTTTTAATACAGCAAGTTTCTCAGGGTCAAAAGTTATTTTTCTGAGCTTTGAGTCAGAAATATATTCATGTTCGTCATCAGTAGTGTCCTGTTGTGATCTTTACTTTAAAGTTTGATAAACATACTTTTCTAATAGAAACTTCTTCCTTTGTAATACAATGGAATATTGTTGCATTGCAGTTGCTGTGTTATAAAGTTAAGTTTCTCTTGAATTTCAACATATTCATTCAATGTACTGATTTCAATGAATCTGAGTAGAAAGAGTAATAATTAATTATTGATTGTTTTGCACATAAACATAGGGTCAACAGATTTAGTTGTTACTGATGCATCACATGCATGGTTCTTATGTTCTTTACTATGCAAGACACTGTAGTTGTCTGTGGTCTTCAGTGGGACTTTATAGCCTTAAAGCCTTATGTACCCAACTCTTCTATAGAAAGCTGTTGGCAGAAAAAGCTATGTACTGTCACTGTGCAGCAGCCAGTTTCTTTCAGGTTAAGGTGGTTGTCAAAGTATGATCTAAAAGCCCTTTGAATACACCAAGAATTTGACAAGCTCATTGTGTAGGCAAGGGCAGTCTGCATAATTAAAGTGGATTTCCTGCGTTTGCCTAACACCAGGCATGAAGTAGCCTCACCTTATCAGCATTGGTAAAATAACTAGTTCAATGTGTCATTTTTTATTCTGAAACTTGAAACTATTCTCTTTCCCAATTCCAAAACACCACGATGGTGCCTCCTGTGATTGGTAATGACAAGATGAATACTACTACCCTGATCATCATTTAGAATAAACACCCCCACGGTATTTTCTCTTCCTTGAGCTTTTTTTCAAGCTGTCTGTTGGAAGAAGGTTTATTTCTAGAGAGGTAGCCTCTTTAGAAGTTATTTTCTTGCTAACTAGCAGCAGTTAACCAGGAAGAGTCTGTTTCCTATCTAGCCATGGGAGGCTCATCTGTGGCATCAGTCCCACAAAGGCAGTGGGAACATGATCTCTGCCCCTACGTGGGTTCAGGGTTGGCAGTACTGACAGCAGATGTGCAACACTGACTTCAGCAGGACATTGCAGCTACCAGCAGAATGTTTTTGTGGTCCTAACTGCCTGTCCATCCAAAGAAAATTTTGGCTTTATATTCCTGCGGATGCAGGTGACTTCAGGGTGGAACATACATAGACTTCTATGGTGATAACACTTCTGTATATCAGAATGAGTAATTTCCTATGTTATATGAGTTACTGTATGACAAAAAGGGGGTAAAAATACCCTCAGCATTAATTAAAGCATTTTTACTATATCGTATATATTGTTAAATATATGTTGAATTATATGTTTTGTAGAAGTTACTGGCTTTGTTATGTAGTAGTATATTTTTATAGACAATTCTTATATATTGAAATGTTAAGAATATTTTCATAAGAGATTTATATTCATCATTGCTAATAAAATGATCCTGAAGAATTAGTCTCTGGTTTTGCATTGATTAGTGGAACATAACTGAATGTAGTGATTGTAAAAGCTTTATGAAAGAGATGTTAATCAAACAGCCCCTGTTAAACATGAGCATATGCCTCAAATTCTGCTAATACTGTCATGCTATGTCACTTTTTATGCTTTGCAACTACTTAGAGAAAAAAAGAAGCTCCATCAGCTTCCATACAGCAGTTTCTTGACTGGAAACACTGTGACATTGACAGATCAGTAAAGTTAAATTTTCCTGTGTGCAAGTAGTGATTTGTTTCTGTGTATTTTTTTGTTTTGTTTTATTTTATTTCTGTATATCATGATTTGAATTCAAGTCTTATCTTTCTTGTCACAAGGTGATAACTTAATTCATCCTGGTGTGTCAATAATTAACTTTTCACTAAGGAGGAAAAAGCAAGGGAAAAAACCCTTATGTGTAAAACCATCATCATCGCTAAATATTACAAAAATATTGGAGTACTTTTTTTTTATTATCCTGGTAAGTGCTTCTTCCTACAGTGTCAGCGGATTTCTGAAGCTTACACTTGAGAGCTTTATGCATGTAACAAATTTTATTTCTGGGTGTGACTTAACATTAGAGAGGGAAAAATAGATGGGAAATGAAGAGTTGCATAGTGGGGAATAACTAGCAGTGTTAGCCTGTCTATCCAGCACCCCCTTCTTCACTTAGTAGGCTCAAAAATTAACTCATTGTAGGACAACTTGACACCATCTGTTTCACAGGCTCTAAAGTAAAGAAAAGAACAAGGTACTTCAAGAGAACTTGCTGTGCCAGGCATAGGCAGGGGAAGAGTAATTGTCAAAGAAGCTTTGCCACATTCTCGTGGCAGCTCTGTAGGTTCTCCAAACAGCTAAAAATATGTAATAGATAGAAATTTAAGCTTTAAGGGAAAGGGGAAAAGATTTTTGGATAGGTAATATTGAAATCTTCCTTATTTACAAACGGTAGGTGATGTAGCATGAGAGATGAGAGCTATTATCTATTGCTAGATAATAAATCTCTTGAAACAAATTTCTAGAATTATGTCTATTCACAAAAAAACCCTAAAAACCAAACCAACCAACCAAACAAAACACCACCAAAACCCCAAACCCCACAAACTCAAAAGAAAAAGAGCACTGTGTGTTATCCCCTTATTGATTTGGTAAAGTGTTCTCCCAGTCCTGAGCACAGGAAGTAGTACATGAGATAGGATGTGCAGATGAATTGTTCAAATAGGTTTCAGTTGATACTTTTTACTCTTCAATTAGCTTTTATGGAACTGAATGAAGTTCGTATGTTATCCTGTCGAGGAGCAGTGGATTCTGGAAAGGATAATAAGAAACTAATTTGTCATCTGAATTTACGTACTGAGCAATGGAAAAGGGAGATTTGAGTTCTTGCTCTGCTAAATGAGGCGATGCTGGGTCTCTGTGGAAGAGGTGGAAAGAAGACCCGTGTTTTCTGTTCGGGGAGTATGAAGTTCTTCAACTTTCACTCTGTACTGTGACTGTTCTGTCGGCAGGTGGGGCTGTTTTTCTTATTTATTCCTTAGTGCATAAACTTAAACCTTCTTAAAAATCCAAATCCACAGCTCTAGACAATAAAAGTTTCAATACAGTGTGATGTACACACTGTAAATGTTCCATTTAAATAGGAGTCCAAGTACCATTAAAGCATTTGAATGACTAAACAGAGTATAATTTCTGATGTTTTAAATAGTATCATCCACCCTCTCAGAGCAAAAGGTACTAGAGGGTACAGAAGAACTTTGGCAACTCTCTGAAATTCTGGGGAGCAGGAGAGTGTGGACCTTGTCCCTTCATGTGAACGTCAATAAATTAGCAGGTAGTGAAATTGGACATCTCATTGGTAATGATGTTGCTGGGTATGAAACAACCTGTATATGTAGCATATGTCCTAAGCATTCTTTTTATTAAAAAAAAAAAGGAAAAAGGGAGGGATAACAAGTACATTCTTGCTATTAAATTCTTTGGGGCAAGAATCAAAGTGATGAGCTAGGATGAATTTAGGTTACTAGTTCTAATTTTGCACAGATAGAGAGCACATGTGCTGTCTGAGCAGTTGTCAGCAGGTTGTAACTGTTGCCCCCTGTTTTCTCCTATTTGGCTGAGGGACTTTAAAAAAACCCATTTCTGTTCCACATCAGATTTTTATATTGGGGTTGGGGTGAGACCCCTACATAGTTCTTGAGCAGGTTCTTGGTGCAAGTGCTGTGGCAGGGAGGCCCTATACCTAATCCAGTACCTTATTCCCAGGGCCCTGCTGCCAAATATTTCCAATACCAGAGTTTCCTGGTAACTCTCTTGCTCTGTTCAGCACAGCACAGGGCTATGGACAGGACCAGGTGTGCTGGAAGAGCCTCTTCAGTCAGAGCAGTTGATTTAACTGGGAAGTCGTGCAAGCTCTTGAGCACAGATGCATCATGCTGTGCCTAAAGCCTGGCAGAGTTGAGAAAGGGGTTCCAACTTAATTTAAGGGGGAGGAATGTTAGAAAGGGAGGAGGTGACACAGTTAAGTACTACAGTGAGCTAGAAAAAATACTTGTCAAAATGTTTTCCATTGGAAGGTTGGCCGGAGGATTTTTTGCTGGTGTTAACTGGCACTGGTAGGTGTTGTTCTACTTAATAGGAAGTAGTGGACAGCTTTTGGAAGCTAAGTAATGTTAGAGAAACACCTTTTTAATATTATTTGGAAAGGCTACGTGGCAGATCCATTTTATTTCATAAAAAATCCCCACAGTGCACTGTGAATCAGATAATAATATTTACTTTCTACTTTCCCATTTGCACTTTATGTCTTAAAACAAATATTCCTTTATATTACCATGAAAACTGTTCAGTCATTACTGAGGTTTGATCAAGAAGCGAAGGGAAAAGCTGTTGCTTTTAAAAAGTAACCCTGATTTTGTTGGGTTTTTTTTCCACTTTACCAGAAATATTTCATGCCAACTAAAGCCTTGTAATAGATGTGTATTCAATTTCTTCATTAAACGTCATCTTTATGTAATATGAACAAGATCCTATGTTCTACTGTTTGTAGTAGTGTATGTAGGGGGTCCATACGAAAACACTTAGCTGATGTTCTTTAACCTTGCCGTATGACAAAACAATTTCTTCATTATTAAAAATTTGAAATCTCCCATGGGAGCACTGCAAATAGCCAGGTAGCCTTTTCTACCCGGGAAGCCTCGTTTGCTCATGTGATTCATCTCCCTTTCCTGCTTTATCTGCCAGAACCATGTAGCTTATTTCCTTTGCAGTTCATTAGTTCTTAATTTGCAGTAAAGGTGGCTGATTTCAATTTATGATATTATCAGCACAGTTAGGCTATGTTGTTTTTTCAAGGAAGGAAGGAAGGAAGGTGTGAAACATATCTATATACCTGTATCTGTATATACATATATAGATATAAAGCCTGTAAACTTTACAGTTTAACCATATTTTCTGCATCAATAGGACTTTTAAATTTTAATGTCAGTGTCTATCATAAATCATCTTGACTCAGCTTTAGAGAACAGCCCCTTGTATCTGCCGTTCTCTTGGAATTAGGAGGGAGGGGACAGAAAAGGGAAAGGAAAAGTCTGGGGGATAATCTTTGTTCTCTCTCTGGCAAGTACTCTGCAGCAAAGCTGTCCCAGTGAACCCTGTTTGTGTGGTTGGGTACAGATTTAAGGAAGAGAAGGAACAGTTTGTTCTCTGCTGATTATATAAGAATACCCTTAAGAGCATGTTGCTTGCTTCAGATTACAGCCTGTATCCCAGGATTAGCATGAAAGAAAATAGGAAAACTGGAGTTATAGCCACATTTCTGATTCTTTAGTATACCTTTATTAAAATCTGGAAACCTTGGCCTTGGGGTAGTGGATGATACTTTATGTTAGCCAGCCTGTAGCACTCTAGATGTCAGTTTTGATCAACAAATTTATATGCTGTTTCCTTGAGAGAAATATACTTGCCAATTTGATCTGCTCTTTTAAATTTTGTGGAGAACTCTTGTCTTTCCAAGTTATATGATGCCCACAGATGTTTCTGTAGCATGTTTTTCTCTTTTGCCTTTTGTCTCATTTTCTTGGATATTTAGAATGTCATTTCAGGATTAAAAGCTTTGGTTTTGCAGTCTTTACTGATAATTTTTTGTGACAAAACATATTTCCTCAGATATTGGGTGTGCAGTGACAGTGCACAGAAAAGGGCACTAGAGATCAGTGAGGACAATGCAAAACTCCTAATCCTGTATATTGTAAAGATTAATGTGATTTGAGATTGTCCATGTTATGCTCTCTGTCCCCTCGAATGCTCACATCGATGGGCTGTTCACTGGAAAGCCAATGGCATTTACAATACACTGGCAACCGACAAACTTGAAATTGGGAGATACCAATACTGTACTGCCTTCAGAAATCCTAGGAATTTATGTTTTGGACAAACGGTTTATGAAGATCTTCCCATACCAGCCTCTTTCCCAGACCATTCTTAAGCAACAGTTTTGCTGTTACAATCTGGTTGGCAACTTTTCTGCACATGATCTTAGGTCATTAATTTAGAATCTGGTGGTACTTGTGTTTAGTTTTATTATTTACTTTTTCTTTAATTCTCAATTATATTTTTACAACTTCTGTGATAATTTCAGGTGTACCTTTATTGGTACGTTATCACACTTTGAAGAATTTTTGACTAGGTTGTTTGGGATTTTCGATATTAAATTCCTCATAGCCACATGTATTTATTTTCTTAGCCTTAGCATATATATGACTCCAAGTTGTAATTAGTGACTCAGTGTTAAACTCTACCAACATGTCTATAAAACACAGCATTTGGATATTTTGATGAAAGGAAATTGGTAGATACTGCTTTTATAAATCTGAAAGCTGCAGAGCAGATGTGGAAGGAATTACTGCAAAGAATCTCAACTGGCATATAAAACAGAAGCTGAAGTTTATTTTGGTTTTATTATAAAAGAAAAAACATTTTGC